GGCTCCAACTATATTTATGCCTAACTACGTGTCTCTGAATGGTGTAGACTTATTCACATAGAAAGCAAACACACTTCTTAAATCACTTAAATCACTGAATTACAGAATAATTTAGGCTGGACAAGGCTTTCAGTGGTCATCTAGTTAAAGGTCCTGCTCACTGCAGGGTTAACACCAACATTCAATCAGGAATGCAATTTCCATTAATTTTCCTACAGGATGCAAAGGAAGACAAAAGAAAGATTTCTATTTCAACTTAGAAACTGTTTAGAGAGTACTGAAATGATCCAGTTGTGTGCCAAAGACGACATATGATTCAAATTTTTGAGTTATCAAAAATATTACCAAGTTGCTGGTATGAAGCATTACACATTAAATTTATATTTGTAGTATGACAGCTGTCTCTGACTTGACAGTGTTTGCAGAACTTATTCAGCCTCATGTCTGGAACCATTCCTGCAGAGTTCACTTGTGAAAGTCATCCCACGTCTGGTGCCCATATTATCTCAGGCATCACAATGGAGAACCACATTTTGTCAGGCAGGCTTGCCAGCATCAACCTAATTTTTGCCATGTATAAATAATGCCCTAAAGGCACAGCGTGGTGTTTCTGAAGAACTTCAAAACTACTCAGCCACATTTGTTCCATTCACTACACCAAGCTTGTGCAATCTAAGTTTTATCCAAGGAGTTAAACACAGAAGAGCAGCATTCTCTCTTCAACTTCAGTCTCTCCAACAGCTATTTACTGATACAGCTGGAAATTTTTGCCTAAAATAAACATTAAGCCATTACATTTGACTAAATAATGAATTTAAATAATCAATTTAAAATAATAGCTTTGATGGAAAAGTATCACTTAAGTACAAATATACAACTGCTACACAAAAAATAAACATACTCATGGCCAGAAAAGATCACTGTTGTCAGCATGCTGCATACATAACTAAGGATATCTAACTCTAATTTCTGTACCAAGCCTATAACTTCTCCTGGAGTTAGATCTTCCAGAAGGATACCATTGGTTGTGGGATTTTTTGTTTTGTTTTGTTTTTTAAAAAGAGACAACTCAGCTCAAGGAGGCGCTTGAAGAATTAAATCTTCTCACTATTAAAAATGTAACCAATTTCAATTGTTAATTTTTGTTTAAATATTTTGATTTCCAATACAGTTTGATGCATGAAGACAGCATCTACTGCTAAACTCTGTTCAGGCATCAGCATTCACAGAGCTCTTCTCAGTCAGCATACATAATATTGATTTGATTTTGCGTAGCACTTTTCATTCAAAGGTCTCAAAAAACCCTCATGAGTATTTATGACTGATAAGTCTCATACAGAAATACCTCCATTTTGCAGAAAGGAAAACAGAGGGAAAAGACACTAGAGACCATATTTTCCAAAGGAATAAAAAATAATACATAGATGAGGTGACTGTGAACTTTTGGGAAGGCAGAATCAGGCAAGCTGTCCAAAGACACAGTTTACCTCTCCACAAGGCAAGAACAACACCCTCATCATCTGATTCTTATGCCTCTGTTTCTGTAGTGAGACAACTATGATTTGAACATCTTATTTTTATATACTGCTGTATAAGGCTTAGGTATACAACACCACATTTAAAACAGCTCAGAAATGCACTGTGAATTTAATACTGGTTCTTGAATTACATTAACAGTACAAACTGCTCAGCACAGGAATGCAACAGTTTTTAATTCTGCTTAAACAACTCTTTTTTCCTAAACCTGTTTTCTACAAGACCACAGTTTAAGCCTAATGAATCCCAGCCACATACTCAGAGCCAACACAAATCCACCTTGGCAGCTGCTGAAATTCTTACCTATGGCCGAGACAATGAAGACCTCAGCCTGTGCCTAGTGACATTCCCTAGTGGGAATGGACATGTGCACACTCTGTCACCTCTTTTCACATCCAAACTGGGGAGGAAGGGCTTTTTTTCTGGATCACTGAACACTGCTGAGCAGATAAAATGACTTAATAGGTTTACTCCAAAACACAGCTAATAGCTATCAGAATAGCTATCTTCTGAGAGAAGCCTTGTTAGCACAGACCTCTTACCCTCACAGCCTCTTAGCATGCGGAGCAGCAGGTCATGTCATAGAGGGGGGAAAAAATTCCAGTGCTTCTGTCCCAACAGATGGGACAGAAACAGAAGAAGGAAAGTAAATTATCAGCACATTTCTACACTCTCTCCTACAACTCTAAGCTTACTGCTTAAGTTGACTGGGATTAAAAGGTTATTGAGATTTTTCTACTATTTTTGAGGTAGGGGATAGAGACTTCCATGAATGGGCAGCTTTTTACCAAGTGAACATCTGACCTTCTGAGATTTAGTGACCTCAGACAGTTTTTCATATCAATGTTAAGGCACTTCTAGAAGTTCTCTAAAAAGTATTTGTCTCATTCAGTCCAGGGCATCTTCTCCATTACACTGCCATTACAAGTTTGAGTATCACAAATAAGAAAATTAAAAAAAAAAAATCTATTTCATACATTGATTAATTTACTTAACCATTCATAATGTTCTACTATAATCAAAGAAGGTAGATGAAAATAATCTTTACTACTATTCCAGCCAGGCATGTTAGATGTGTCATTTAGAAATTTAAAAGATGTTTTAAAATCCACGTTTACAAACATTAAAACAACAACAAAAATACCACTTTCACACAGCTTAGATAAACTAGAAATTTGTCTTTGCAGAAAATACATTCCAGAAGGCTTCAGGGGTTTTCAAGATGGCAAGTGATTAGTGGAAACTGATTCTCGTGGCTTTGAGCTAAAACCCGTTCAGCTCCAGAAAGCTGTTTTGTCTTACTTGTGTCATGAAGGCATGACTCACAGAAAACATCTTTGACATTTTTGGGCCATGTAAAAACCAGTATATTGTATTCACTAGGACCATGAGTACCTAACACACAGAATTAAATCCTAACCTTGTAAAAATGCATGGGAATTCTGCCTTTCAATTCACATGATTAGGATCTCACCACATCACCGCAGCAACAGCAGCCAAACAATATTCAGACCTTCTATGGAGTTCTAGAGATCACAGCAGGAAAAGATCATTACTAACTTGCATCATCCAGTTCTCAGTGTGTTAACCAATCTTCCAACATTTTTGTGACCTGGTACACTAGCACTCCATTAAAATTAAAGATTCAGACTGACAGAAATGTGAGCGATGATAGCAGAAAACCAATTTTCTTATGTATTTGCTGACCAGTGTAAATTATAAAGCTTTATACTTTAACTTTGCAGGAGTCACACAGGAGGCCAGCATTTATTTCCCCATGCATTTGCTTCTCTTAGTAGCAAAAGAACAAAAAGAAAGAAGCAAAGCAAAAGAGGAGGGGATAGACCTCTTATATACATACCGGACAGAGCATTGTATGGACATGGAAAATCTCAAGTGTTTAAAGAATTATTTCAGAGAGGAACAAAGTCAGCTATTATCAAGCATTTAATGCAACATCATGCTCAGAAGACTCTTACATGTTGTAATACACACTGGTGTGTTGCCCATATCTACACAATACGGGGGGGGGGGAGTTGGGTTTACTACTTCATTTACTTTTATTTCTTACAAAACAAGGAGAAACAGTTCCCTAAACCCCCCCACCCTTCTCACAAGACAATATATATAATATATATATATATAATATATATATATGTATATTATGTATATAATATACGTATATATATAAGGAAAAGACACTTCTTCCATGAGGAAAAATGGAAAATATCATCAGATGAGCCAGAATAGCCATAGTAAATTCAGACACACTCCAGTTATGCGATACTAGCTTGGCTACAGTCATATTTTCTTTAATGCTCCCTGTTCATGAACTATTCAGACAGAACAGAGATTTGCAGCACTATGTCAGCTAGTCTTAGCCAAAACAAACAAAACCCATACTGAGAAAGAGCAATTCTAAGTTTGGCAATAAAGTATCCTAAAACACAAGCCAAACAAAAAATGATTAATATGAGACATTTATCAGCTACAATTTTATCACTCTCCCAAAGCTACAACATGAAGTCATATCACCTTTAGGGGTTCGATGAAATCCAGGGTGGTTTCTTGGTCTACTTCGCAGATTCCCACTGCGGCTCGTACTTTGTTTTTACAGTTTGATCATAATGACTAATAGCCATAAAAGCAGATCAGACCTAGGACTTTTGTTTTTTTACTGCTATATGTCAGAATCTTTGCTGTCACTGCTGAAGACCTGAGTGTTACCCCACCACATCTTTCTCTTCTAAATTACTAACCGTGGCAAGTGACAACACATGGTCTCATCAAAGGACTGACTAAAAGAAAGGAAACAGTTCTATGATATTAATGCCACATGCATTTCCAGCCACATGGCATGTTAAGACCCACTTCTCATAATTCCAGTTACTCAAATAAGAAAGAAGTCTCCCAGCTACTTGTCTACAACTTTATTTGTGAATGAGGGCTTACCCCAAGAAATTAATTAAAGTCTGTGGCTACCACTATTGTATTGACCTATCTTCCCCTACATCTACAGTTCTGTCCTCAGAGCATCACTATATTCTCAGTCCTGAAGCTGCCAAAGAATGAACTGACTACGTAAGTTTTTTATGTAAGGCAAAGAAAGTGTAATAGTTTGTGTCAGTTTCTATGAACTTTCTGTACAGCACAGAGTTATTGAATGTGAGCAACTGGATCTAATCCATGCAGTTAGGCAGAAGACAGCAACAAGATTATTAATATAAAGCAATGGATGGATCTGTACAAAAAACATTACTCAGACCTCCAATAACTGTGTCTAAACTAAAAGAAAAAAGAAAAAAGTACTGGAAGGATTTCAGTCACTTGGGTATTCCCCAATGGAGTCTCACAGTTGAAGCGCAACATCCTCAGCTAATTCCAGAACAAATGACTCATCAGAAAAATCTCCAAACCAAACTTTCCACAACACCACTGTCCACCCTGGCTCTGGTTTTACCAACCTTTCTCCCCATCTGATTTCACAGCTTGCACTAGAGCTCTCTCCTTTTTTCCTTGCCTTCCCCATTTTCCCCAGTAGATACTTCTTCAACTGTAAAGGAAGAATTACTGAATTAGGAAATAAAGCTTAGAACTCAATTTTGAAGTCCATCATTTCAACAAGGTTTAACACATTTAACCTGTGGTTGATGCTAATACTAGCTTCTCACTGAATATTAAGCAATGTGTTAGGCTGTTTCCACAGCACTCAATATTCTGAGCTGAAAATATCCTCCTTCACTCAAATCTGAAAACCATGCATGTCAAGCTTTATTCAAAATACTGTACAATAACAATTAGAATAATATACCACTAAACATAAATCTTGTAAGGAAAGACTGCAGATTATCTTCTCCAGGTGCTCCTCTTGGGTTCTGTCTTCTCTATCATAGAGTAAACACCTAGCATCGTGTACACTGACAAAAAATGACCATAAAAACAAAGGTTGAGTATTCTCAAAATTCTTTGGAGAAGGCAAGAAATGTAATGAACTTCACACATCACAAAGTCATGTCACAAAGCACAATAATAAAACATTTGTATGCTTTGAAGGCAGCATAGGAATACCCTGGTGAAAACATTAATGGAAAGCTACTCCATCTGGGCTCAGCCTCTCATAATTTAATCCTGTGTGATAACTGCACTTTTTTTTTTTTTTTTTTTTTACAGTAATTACATAATGTTCACAATGACACCTCATCAGAATCTCCAGGTTTCACAAGAAAAAAAAATTCTGAATAAAAAATGTCACTATATCAGGAACTAAGATGGAAAGGAATCGGTCTTAACTATAAGCCATTCTCCATTACCTCCATTAACTCCACAGGCAGGACAATGAAAAAAATTACAAACTGGAGTTCTGCAAAACACAACACTGGTTGTTCTTAATAAATAAATGCTTCTCTCTGTAATTTCATTGGTAGCTGTATTGTTTGTAAACTTGGTTTGGAAAACAGTGACTTGTCTTCCTAATATTGTATAGCCCATTGAACTATGTTCCATCAGCATATGTAGGACCCAATAGTTATTCCTCCATGGGCACTAGCTCATGAGGCCATGTCCCAGGAGAATAAAGTTGAATTAGAAGAAGAATGGAAATAAATTCAGAATAAGAATATGCAAAATAATCTGGAAATAAATTTATTTCCTGCCTGGCAAAGAACAAGCAAATATTTTGCAGGGGTTCTCAGAAGGATCTGAGGAAAGCACTTAGGCACCAAATTGACATTAAGAGATTCTACCATTCTAGAAGTTTCTGAACTGTCTGCTAAGCTTCTGAATGTCATTAATATTTGTTGGTCATTTTTTACTAGGGTACTGTTACAACACTGATTATTGTGACACAAAGGAACTGTCAGAAGTGTATTTTGTGTGAAAGTTTGAACTTGTTTAGCAAATTCCTCATAATCCATTTGGGAGTGCGGTGCCTCAAGATGTTCTACCAACTCTAAGCATTCTGTATATCCAAACATAATGAAAATAACCAGATCACTCTGACTGGCCTCAAGGCCAGAGAATAGGCCTATGTATCAGTATTTTTCTAATACAGACCTGGAAAAACCATACTGGAAACAAAAATCTGTGCAAGCATATGGTAGCTAAGCACTCCCTTCAAATAAACACCATTTAATTTTCCACTATTTTGAAGAAAGTCCCCATTGTTCTTATTGTGCTCATTAGTCTTCTGTGAGACAGAAACAGATTACACAGATTTACATAGTAGCAACTTTTGAGTTCAAGGCATTTGTTTGATTGCAAAAGGAAACAACAGCTGACCTAACTAACAAGAACAGAGTGAAATGCCATTACTTAGCAGTTCCTGTCTTGGTAAACATACTGTACTCCTTGGCTATCTTTCTTTTAATCACTGAATCACAAAATATTTGGAGTTGGAGTGTCATGTTCAACTCCCAGCTTCACACAGGACCATCCAAAATTGAAACCCTATGCATCAGAGCATTTTCCAAACGCTCCTTGAACTCCAGCACTTAGGGCAGCGTCTGGTACTTTGGGCAGCCTACTCCAGTGCCCAGTCACCCTCTGGTGAAGAACCTTTTCTTGACTCCCACCCTGACACCTTGATCCTCCCCTAACACAGCTCCATGACACTCCTTTGGATCCTGTCACTGCCACCAGAGAGCAGAGATCAGCACTGCCCTCTGCTACCCTTATGAAGAGCTGCAGCCACCATGAGGACCTTCAGCCTCCTCTGCTCTGGGCTGAACTGATGGCTCTCAGCCACTCCCAACACATCTTGCCCTCTAGATCCTTCAGCACCTTCATAGTTTGATTAAATTAGCTTAAGTGCATCTTCTGCAACAACTGTTTAATGTCATTTTTGTAGATCAATATATTTTGATACACAATGAAGAAAAATATAAATCGTTTAAAATGCACCTTCAACATGCAATTTCTTCATTTTCAGTTCATTTCAGAGTTAAAAGACAGGAATGCATCAGAAAAGAAACACCACCATATATTCTGTTTTCAATTTTCTATTTATTATTTGAGCCTATTTCCATGTACATCATTGAATCTAGCAATATTAACCTTTGAATATGCTACTTATAAGCTCATAATTTTTCTGCCTTCATTTCTTCCTTCAACTTCTCTTTTGACATTCACTTTTTCCTCTTCTGTCCTTTTATTTTTTCCTCCTTACCTCACCCCTTGCTTTCTTTCTTATTCCTACAGAAATATAGTCATACCTCAGGTGAAACAAGTCAACTGTTAAATACGCTGTCATGCAGGTCCCTTCCAACCTAGATGATTCTGTGATTTATAGCACAAAGTACACATCTGCCAAATCTCACACACAATATCAAGTTTATTTAGTTGATCTCAAACAATCCTACCATGGCATCCATGTCTACAGGACAGTGTGGTTCCTTGGTGCATATCTTATTCCAAGACCAGGAAGTAGCCTAACACCTTATATGCTGTCTGTGTAGCACAAGATAATGCAAAAAAAGTTGTAGCAACCAAGTTGCGTACACTTTGCCTGTTCCAAGTAACACTACATTAGGAAAGCTTCTTTATTGCAGTAGAACGCTGCCCCAGCACACAGTGCTACTCTTTTCCCTTTTCAGAAAGTAATACATTAAACCTACATTTCTCTGCAGCATCAATATAAGCCAAACTTCCTATCTGAGCAAGAGAGAAAGATAGATTGTATCTGTGCATGTATGCATGCAGAGACAGGAAGATACAGGAAAAAAAAATGAGTAACTGGATCAAGCCAACTGCTGGGCTAGTATGCGACAATCCTGATTCCATGACAATCTGCCAACTTCTATGAGGATAAAGCCTTGCTAACACAAAGTTAATTCTTAATTATGAGTTTTCCAGTACATAGAAAAATGGTATAACGTTCTAGCAGCTCTGAGAGCTATTCATTTACCTGCTGTTTCTCACACACAGAATTCTAATAAATTGCAAATAGATGGTTTTCAAGTAATGGCAAATCAAAATTGATTGGTCTTTCTTTTGTTTGCTTTAAATTACAGCGTACCCTTTTGCCTTCATTATTTTGAATTACACAAAGGAGAGAAAAAAATACAAGTGCTTTGAATTGCAATTTTACACATACAACTAGATGGATGGGCAAGTTGCAGTACAAGTAAAAGCACTCTTTTTCAATTCAATACATAGCAAGATGTAAATGATAAAATTAATTAGATATAAATTTGTTCTTCAACAATGGGCTGCTGATTACAAATAAGCGCAACCATTTATTCAGATACACTCAAAAAGAAAATCTGAAAACAAAAAAAAAAATCAAATTCTATTACTGCTATCACTATCACACCAAATTCATCAAGACTAAGTAAAGGTTCTTAACTGCCTCCTAATTAATCTGCTTTGATGGTTAAAAAATAAAAAACAACAATCAAAGTGACCTTTGGAGTTTCCCCTCCCCCATTAGTGGGGAAGTTATGCTGCCATCATTGTAAATCACTAAACCACATCTTTCAAATTCATATCTGCTCCCTCAGCTGATGCCACAGATCCCAGCATAAGTCAAAAGTATTAAAGTGGAAACCTCTCCTGCTTGGAATTAAAGAATTAAAAGCTGCTAAACAATTCCTACCAGTCATAGGACGTTAGTGCCCAACTGCATCAAACTTTCATTGAAAACGACCTTCCCCTTTCACAGCCAGAGTGAATTTATGGAAATATACAGTTTCAAAATGCTCAAATATTAACGCTTTTTACTCAAGGGTTTTCAAACTGGGATGTCCAATGATCTTTGTGAAACAGCTAAGAAGAAAAAAATAAAGTCATAAAAGGAGACTTTTCTTCTTGAGTTCTCTGCCTTTAAACTAGTGGCAGTGAGAATAACTTACACTATGTCATCCATCTCTGGTGATTTCTAAGATCTGCTTGGTTAGAGCTCGCATCTGAAGTGGAAACAATCAAATCCTCATTCCTCAGAATCAGTAAGAGTATCATTGTGAAGCTCGGTGGGACAGAAATGAAACAAATGTAGGAAAAAAATGCCCTTTGATTCTACTTAAATTAATTGGAGGAAAATAAAAAGAATAATTGAGTACAACTCCAGTGGGATACAAATAATGAGATGTTTATCAGAATGGACACCACAGAGTGAAGCGACAACTGCTTAACATTCCTCCTAACAACTCCCAGTGACTGTGCACATAAAAGCAGTTCACAGCTTCATTTCCCACCAGTCTGCTTTGGCATTACCTTCCCCAAACTCTTTGCTGGATCTCACTGAAGATGACAAGATCCTCAGGTGCTCAGTTTTGGTTAGGTGGCTCTGCGCTTCTTTGGCACACTTTTTCAGCTACAACAAACCTTCCTAGCATGAAACAGGAAAAAATAGATACGATGACTTCAAGGAAAATTATCCTCCCTTTTCACATCTTCTGCTTATTGAATTATTTTCAAAAAGAACCAAATGCTCTTTGTAATGTTTCTATCAAAAGATCAAAATAAGAATACTGAGTGATACAAACACACTGTGTCAGTACTGTAGATGAAAGGTTACAAGCAGCTTTGTTATGAAAAAAAAAAAAAACATTTGATTTTTAAGGAAAAGTAGCCAAGCAAAAACACAAAGTTTAAAACCACTGATCTTACAATAAAGTTCTGGTAGGATAATGTAATTACATCTATATGAGAAGACCAGCCAGTATAGCCTGAATATTTCAGTACTGTGTTCAGCCATTAGGTCTACCTCATCTGCTCCTGCTGGGGTACACTGAGATGAGAAGAGACTACAAATATAGTGACAGTGCAAGTACTGAACCGTGTGTCAAATAGAAGCTACTAGGAGTGGAACAGAAGAATAAAATTTCTGTACAGTCAGACTGTAGTCCCAAGAAGGAAATTGAGAACAATGCTTATTCTCACCAACTCCACAAAATGAAGACTACTAAAACTAGTGGGTAGGGTAACAGCTGTGCCAAACATCTGTTCAGCAGTTTCATTCACTAGCTCTGTCAGCATTTCACCTCTCCGTGCAATCTACAATCCACTTATTAAGAACCTAATTACCCATAGATTGTGTGGGCAATGTGTTAGTAAGGGAAAAAAGCTGAAATTTCTCCTTACTTAATTCTTATTTTAAAACAAAAGCACTAACTCAATGCCTACCATTTCTAGTGGACCAAGAATGTGCGTATGTTTTAAAAGAAAGAGATACGCATGAACCTTTTAAGAAGGTTCTAAGAATTATTACGTTATTGATTACTATTCATTACTACTTGAGCAACATAAGGCAGGCGCAGAGCAGGAAGCAGTACAAAGACTTTGCTGGAAAACAGATACCAGAAGAACCTCCCTGAATCCTCACAGCAATGGCATATTTGGGATATCTTTCCACATCCATCAGATTGCAGCATCACAAATCTTAACTACAAGGTTTCTGCAAAACAGATTCAAGTCCTTTTAAAGGCTTCTGTGTACAATGGTAGCATAAAGATTATCTAATTGGATTTTCTATCTGGCCTTTAGCTACCTTTCTACGAGTGGTCAGGTTCTCCTTACATTCTCTTTGCCAGCTGCATGCCAGCATCTGAAACATCTTACAGGATCTAAATTGGGACAAGATGTCCATGCTTTCACAAACAAATCCTAGTTTCAGTATCTGTTCCTGCACGCTGAAAAGTGATTTGCAATTTTCTCTTTCTTCCAACACCACGAGATCAAACACCTGTAGGCAAAAGTAATTTATCTGTTTAAAAAAAGTATAATGGCACCAAGTCAAGTGTAGACATCATCACTACTTAAGATATCAAGCTCTTATTTCCACTACAGCTCTACTGCTATCGTAGACAAGACTGACAGCATTCTAAAAATAAAAAAATAAAAAATAGGAAGCTATTCATGACAGCAACTCATAGGTTTTATACTTCTTATATCATACCTTTATCTGGTTTCAATGATTCTACTCAAAGTCTTCACAGATCTTCAGCATTTCAGATTTTTGGCTCCTAAAATACACTGAACAAACTATGAAAACAGTCTCCTCCTGCTGTTTCCTACATACATTCTAGTCCTTAACTAATTTTCACTTTTTTTTCCCCCCTTTTGTTCCCGGAAAGGCATGAGTCAATCGAGACCATATAACCCACAAGATGTGGCTGAGGTGAGTACTTGTGTATAGCATAGGTGTTTTGTGTTACACGCCTAGTATTCAAGAAAATGGAAGCAGAACCTATCACAATACAGCTTGATCCAGGAAAGGTCCAGTAATGCTGCTAAACTAGTGAACAGTTTCAATGGAGTTACCAATAGAGGTACTGGCCTATTGTTCTAAGCAAAGAACATAAACCACCAGTAATCATTAGAGATGTATCTTGGTACTACTCACCTGTTTGAGGGTCAGCATACATTGCAGTGCTTCAAGAACAGAGCTCACTCAGTCCTTACTTTACAGGATTAAATTCAGACAGCCCACCACTTATAATCTGATTACAGAGCTTCCATAAAAATGAATTCTGCTGCAATTCCAGTGAGACTGTATTGGATTTCTGTACATGAAACTGTTTCTATACATGGAATAAAATGATTCTAGTGTGCTGAACTCCTGCATTATTCCTTTTCCAGCTTTCGTTTGGATCACTGTTGCAAATCAAACGAGCAACGAACTTGCTATGAAAATAAAAATCATATATGATTTTGTTTCTTAAACTGCTACTTACCTACCACACATCTTTTCCCATGTCTCCAATTACTGTCAAAAAAACTGTCTAAGTTATCTTCTAGCAAGTATTTTGCTAGAAGAACATTAAAATGTTCCAAACTCAAAATACCTTTTGGCTTCATTGCTAAATAATTCAAGTTACTTTCAGTGGAAATAAGATTTTCAGGTTTTCTTTGTACCTTCTACAAAGGAGTACAAAAAAAAAAAAAACAAAACAAAAAACCAACAACAACCCACAATTAATGGAAGAAACGCACTGTTTGCTTCTATCTGGGTACTCACTTGGTTTCCCTCACAAATGGAAAGTACCATCTAGCAGATGAAGAATAACAGAGCAGTTGCCAGAGTACTGACACCGAAACAGGGTGAGCCAGAGGCTACATCAGCTTTAGTGGCAGTACTGACTTGAGCGATACAGCCCTCAGTCCCATAAGCACTATAAGTACAGCGTCCACCACATGACCACAGGTTATTTTGAAGCTTATATTATACAAAACGACACACTAGGAGAATACTTTTGTCTGAATGCTCTTGTCTTCAAAGAGGAAAAGCAGTTTTATTTTTTATAAGCTCTGTATGAAGCAGACAGCAGTGGTTAATGGCAATCAGTCCCAGGTGTCAATGGACATCACTCCTGCAACCTCAGCTGCACTCCTGCAACCTCAGCTGCGCGCCTGCTGAATACAGCGACAATACAACAATGGTTGTGGCAATGGGATATCAGGAGAGCCCACTCCGCACCCCCAAGTTGCTCCTGACCACTCTGCTTCAAAGTCTGCTCCAAAGCGGCTTCTGGCTGCCCGAGGAGAGATTTATTCGAGCAGCGAGGTGTGCTCCCACCGAGGGAAGCAGTGCAACCCCCCTACTGTGCCCGCGCTTCACCCTTTCAGCACTCAGCACACCACCATTTTTTCTCAAACAAAGCTGAAGATAACCCGAACTTGGGCGGCAATAAAAGCGAACGGGGAACTTCTCGGGGCGGGGAAGGCAGCGGTGCGAAGCCCTGAGGCAGCTGCCGAGGCCGGAGAGCTGCGGGCGGTGGCAGCGCGCAAAGTATTCCGGAACCGAAGCAGACAAAAGAGGGTGTAGCAGCTGCACGGGAGCGGCAGACCCGGCGTGCCGCCGGCTCCGCGAGGGAGGAACAAAGTCTATTTCGGGGAGAAAAAAAAAAAAGAATAAAAAATAAAAAAAATCCCCCTCCGTGCCTCTCCCCTGTGTGCCTCTCCTCCCCCTCCTGCTTGACCCCTCGCCACCCAGGGCTCCAGGAGCGCCGCCAGCCCACCCAGATCCGGAGCTCAGCCGGGAGCGATCTCCCCGCGGAGGCACTGCAAGTTCGGGGACGCGGAGCACCCCTCACACCCATCAGCGCTTACCTGCGGGGAGGAGCGGAGCGTCCGCCGCTCTCACGGCGGGGAGCGCTGCGGGGCTGCGAGGCGCGGGGAGGAGGACATGGGGCCGCTCCGGTGAAGCGGCGGCTGGCTCAGGCGGAGGCTCCTCTCGCCCGTCCCCATCCGCGGCGAGGCTCGGGCGGAGGCAGGCGGACGGCGGGGCGGTCACTGCCGCCCGGAGAAGGACGCCCGCCGACCGGGGGCTGCGCGCCCCCCCTCCGCCGCCGCGCGGACAGCCGGAGGCGGCCGCCCGCTGCTCGCCCCGCGGCGATGGGCGGGTGCCATAGCAGCGGGGCCGGGGACGTGGGAGGGCGGCAGCCACGAGAAACTTTGCCGGCCCCGTGGAAAGGCGCTCTGCCGCCTCACGCCGGTCCCAGCAGCAAAGTTTCACTCCCTGAGCCGCCGGCTGCGGGTCAGACACCTTGGGGACGACCCCTCCAATCTCCCGCCGCTCCTCACGGGACGAGGAGGAGGGAGAAAGGGGCAGGCAGCACGCGGCGGGACGGCACCGGGGCTGGGGCAGAACTTTCCTTCTCCTCTCAGAAGGACGCGGCCACCCCAAAGAGCAGCGCGTCCTCCTCCCAGTGCCGCTCTGCCCCCCGCCCTGCCGGGTGCGAGCTTTGTAGGGCGTCCGGTTCCGCCCCAGCGGGCTGCGGGGCCGCGGCCGCGAGGGAGGAGCCGCGGGGCGGGGGCTCGGAAGTCGGGGCCGGGAGGTTCGCCGTGCTCGGGTGGGTGGGGGGTCAGAGCTGAGTGATTCACTGCGGTGGGTTTCGCCTCAGAGCTCAGGGGCGACAACACTTCTGTGATTCAGCTCTTTTCTTTTTTTTCTTTTTTCTTTTTCTTATTTTTTTCTTTTTTTTTCTTTTTTTTTTTTTTTTTCTGCTTATTTGTTGTTGTGTCCACTCACTCCTGGTGTCCAGCCCGGGACAGTTTGGCTACTGGCTGCTCGCATCTCCCGGCCACGCGATATACAGCCAGTGGATGGGATCGGCGAGGGGATAACTCCTAGTTGCACGGGATTTTACCCAGAGTGTACATCAGGCATATCTCGTGGGGAAAAAAAAAAATAAATAAAAAATAAAAACAAGAAAAAACAAGAAGAAAAAAAAAAAACTGCACCTTTTAGAGTCGGTAGCTGGTTTTATTTGATTTTCAAAAATTGACTGGACCTGAAAGTTGCCGTTGCTTTTCATACCGTTATTCTACTTAATGCTTCTCCTAAAAAGACAGAAAGATGTTGAACTTGGAATCTGCATATCTAAGTGTACCTGAGGCTTGAGATGGCTGCAGCCTGGGTGCTCCTGACCACCATGCAGTGAGATCTCACACCTTGAGTGCAGAGAGTGCTGGGTTCTCAGAGCTCACATTGTGATGACTGCACCCCTGCCTAATGGCTGCATCAAAGACAGCTGTCACCCAGCCCTAGCAGGATTAGCAAAGGGCAGAGAAACATTCAGCAGAAGTAGGAAGTATCAAATTTCCAGCTGCAGCATTTTTTGATTTGAGGAGGAAAGAACAGCTTACAAGTGTCAGGTTTCTGCCTGTTTGCTCAGATGTTACCAGACCTGTACTTTGGCTTGCCCATCGCAGAGCAATTGTGTTTGATGCCAGCAAGGGAGGGGACATCCTGCAGACAGAGGTTCTCTGACACCACTGCACACGCCTGGGGGGTGAGGGAAAGGATGATGCTTGTGCACACCAGATCTCTTTCAAGAGTCAGTGTCTCTGCATAGATTCTTTTTTTTTTTTTTTTTTTTTTTTTCCACTAGAATTTATGGGAAATGCCTCAGAGGTAAAGGTGTGGAAACTTCACTCTCCTATTCTACCAATAGTTCACGACATCTGGATTAAGGGCATGATGTGAGCCAGCACCAGCTCCACCACGGTCTCCAGGAAATGCTGGGGGTGGTAATGCTGCGAGGAAAGATTTCTGCTCAGTTCTTGCTCTGTCTTTGTTTCTGCCAGATCTCTTTTTTTTTTTTCCAACCCCAGACCAAGTATGGCATCACCACATCATCTCCATTTGTATTTTCCTGCCACAAGATGCTCCTCAGGTCCTTTGGAAGTGTTTAGATGATTTACACTCTCAAACAGCCCCTCTCCACAAAAAGTAAGAATTAATGAGAGTTCAGAGGCAGCAAGGTTGTGAGGACAGAGCAGTGAGCTAGGGGATAGGTGTCAGCAATGCTACGAGGTGGGGAGCATCTCTGTGTCAGATGGAGGTGGGTTAGACCCTTGTGTGGTACAAGCACAAAGCCTACGCTCCCACTGAACCACAAAGTCATGATTCTTCTACATTACCCATGGGCTATATGTATGAAAATAAGGTAGTTGTGATTTTAAAATGTGAGCAATATGTTTTGTGGGAGCTTGCCGTGGATGATGGCACAGCAAGTTCTGCCCATCCTAGTGACTGGGATTTGACTTGTACAGCTTTGCTTCTTATCTGGTACATTTCAGTTCTTGCCTATTCCTTTTCCTACTTACAGCAGTTTGATATGATCTGAAGACCATTGATTTAAGGGATTTACTCTCGATATGCAATGGAAAAGGAAGAAGAGAATAAGGCTCTTCAGATCTCAGACATCTGCAAATCTCTGGAGTCAGTCAGTGTCAAAACCAATATTCCAGGCTTTAAAAGTCAACATGGATATTGCTCATCCCAGTAAAACAAACATGTTAATGCATTAATTATGATGGTGGTTGCTTCTGCGATTATAGAAAGAATCAGTAATTAACCTCAAGAGTGAGATCCTCCCTTTTAATTCACTTAAAGGCATGGAGTACTTCTGTTTGAAAAGTGGTATGTTAGCAGCATTATTCTAGTTTCCCTTCCAACCTGCATCTTTCAGCTCATCAAATGAAATCATTCATTTGCTTCCATAAACAAGGCAGTGGGTGGGTTAAATGGTCAGCAGATCTGTAAATTGAATGCATTGAAGAAGGCAGATATTTACAGGATGCTTTTCTAAGGTCCAGACTCACTTCTACTGGAATTTGGTTAGAATTTGGGTCACTGAACTGTCTTGTGCTTTAGGGTGATAAATATGAATTCATGAATTAGGATTGTGAATGTAATTTAAGGTTGAAGGGATCTCCATGAGCTGTGAAGAGCTGTAGTCAAATCTGGACAACTACAGGAAGAACAAACATAATTGTTTTTGCCAAGACTTAATGTAAATAATACTGTGAATCAGCTACCTTACATAGCTTTCTTTCCACTTATTATTAACCTCAAATATTCCTATAAAGCTGTTATCCCTTACTTCTAATTAAGACATGGAGAAAATCTACTGTCTATCATTTATTTATGCTCAGTTTTTTTCAGTGTTATCAGTACAAATTCAGTTTCCATAAGATATCAAGTGTTCCGTGGTGGTAATAAATGTTAATTCATAACTAATAATCCTGGGACTACAAAATATGTCTAGATCTCTGGCTAACAGCTGATTTTAGTCTCTAAAAATACACAGTCTAAGATCTTTAAAACATGGACAAGACCTGAATAGTGTCTTAATATTAAATCACAAGCCTATAACTTATAATTAGATTATATGAGCTGGTAAGCAAAATTCAGTAATAAAAAACTGAATCATCCCAATGTTTTCCAGAAGGAAATGGAGTTAACAGTGTAGATTCTTCTCTAACATACACACCTGAAGCGATCTTCCATGTTTTTCTGCGTCCCAGCTCTATTCCTTCCTCTTCATTCCATGTTCTTTTTGAAAACAGGGAACATAAATATACTTTATTTGTGCTGAAAAGGAAAATCATTTCTGATAAATAAGATCAATCCATTTTGCTGAATAAAATAGAAAAAAAATGCAGTATGTTTTGTTGAGCAAAGACCTGTTTAAGTAATTTTTGGTGGTATATTGAAGCATATGCCTCGGTGAAGTGCATCATGTTGTGTACATAGAAACCTGCACCCATATTTACCCAATGCATTTTTTCTTGTTTCATTTGCATCATTTGCTACTTCACATCCTTGTTTACATATTTACCAATTGACTCAGATGGCCAGGCAATGACAATAACAGACACACTTGTAATCTGCAGTAAATGCTGTACCCTGGGGTAATACCATGTGGATTCAAGCCCTGATCGAGTGTCCATCACTCAAGAGACTTCATTGGCCTCAACATATTTTCCCCTGGATCTTCACTTGCATGGGAATTTTAAACAAACTTACCATATTCAAATTTGAGTGATGTACGTGGTTGGCATGAACAAGAGGCAGTATGTCTTACAGGTACTGAATGTCCTAAACCACCACTCGTTTTTGAACCATGAAACACAAAGTAATTTTTGGTAACTTCTACTTTTGCTCAGGTGAGTAAATAGTGAAACTTGTGTTTTACCAAGTTTAATGTTATATTGGAACATACAAACATAAAAAACCACAGAATTTTTAAATAGCACAGTAACTTCTAAAAGGGAAAAACATTAACAATATGCTGCTAAAAGGCATGATATCTTACAATAGGCACCTATAAACTTGGAACTGGGATCAAGAACTTCTTGCTCTTCTGGACTTTCCACGTGGCCTTGGAGACACCACTTGATCTTTCTGTAGGGAGGACTTAAGAACATCTAGAGCTTTCTTGAACTACTGTCCTTGTCTTATCAAGGCTTATAAATATCTGAAGGGCAGAAATCACAAGGATAGAAGCAGTCTCCTTTTGGTGATGCCCAGTGACAAAGGGCAATGAACACAAACTGGAACACTCAAAGTTCTCTCTGAAAATGAGGAAGAACTTCTTTACTTTGAAGGTGTCAGAGCACTAGAACAGGTTGCCTAGAGAGGTTGGGAGTCTCCTTCTATGGAGATATTCAAAACCCATCTGGACACTTTCCTGTGTAACCTACTGTAGGGAAATTGCTTTAGCAGAGGGATTGGATTCAAGGATTTCTAGAGGTCCTTTCCAACTTCTACAGTTCTATGATTCTGTAACTTTCTTTTGAACTGAGACAGTGAAGTTATTATTAAAGAGGAATGGTTCCTCATAGGCTGTTGGTTTAACTTGTGACAGTGTCACTACTTCCTATTCCCTGTCTCTTCAAGCAGAAACCAACTTATATTACCCTCGGAGGTCTATAAGCAATGTCTTAATGTCCTTGCCTAATCCCATGTGTACTAGTAGCTCAGCTCCTAGGCCCTGGTGCCAGCATCCATCAGCCAGCTGCTAAAATGTTCAACAGGAAACTAATAATTTTGTTGTGATGT